GAAACTCTCAAAATTCAAGTCACTGGCCTAAGGTCAAGGGCAAGTAAGTGGCAGAGGCAGGGCAGAACCCCAGGGTCCACACCCCTCTCCACTCAACGGAGCCATCGGGGCAGAGACACCTGGAACTGCTTCTGGGATGGTGTACCACCAAAACCCACGTTGGGCCCGGGCAGCAGCCAGTACTCACAGCACTCCTGCGCCGCCCTGATGCACAGCTCCTCCGCCGTGTACTCCCCGCTGCCCAGACGGAGGGGCTCCCTGTCCGACGGATAGAAGAGCACTTCCACCCCTGGCTCAGGGGCCTCCAGGTTCACCTCGGTCTTCTTGGAGCTCCGCATTTTAGCACAGAAAGCCATGGCATTGCAGTCCTCCTTTATATTTAGATACTGTAAGGAAAATAAGACTACGGTCATTCCATGTGCTGAAAGTTCTAACAGTAAAGGAAAGTGTTATGAAGGTGAGCAAGCAGAAATTTGTGGTACTGGGTAAGTACCTCTCTCTGCCCCTTCCCTCCCTGAAAATCAAATGCATCAGGGCTTATGACACGCGAAACTCCGGAAAATAATCAATTACACATTCTAATAAATTATTTATTGTCAGACCATATTCTCAAAAATCAGAATAATTTTAGACATGGTTTAAATTTATTTTCTCTATTTGCACACAAGCTATCGTTGGAAAATGTGGCTCATTCTGGAACCACTGATGCTAATGATACTGGCATTGGTGCTATCTCTACTGGGGTAATTTTACCTTTGAATAGAGCTATGGCATGAATCACACTGTCTTTTAATTTTATATCTATCTCCCACTAAACTGCAAGCTCAGTAAGGTAGAAATCATGTTTATCTATCTCCATGCCCCCAGAACCCAGCCCAGGGCTGGCTCTTACCTAGTACACACAAAATGACAAGTAATTCATGTTCATAAACGACATGGAAGGGTCATGAAAATTAATCAAAGGAGCCAGGTCCCCAGCACCCCATGGGCAGGCAGGAGGATGGGCAGCACGCTGTGGCAGCAGAATGAGGGTGGGCAGCCTTGCTTTGACAGGGTCAGAACTCTTTGGTGAGAAGCTTGCAGAAAGTCATTTATCTGAGACTCCTAAAAAGGGTGAGCAGCTAGGGTCAAAGAGCCAACCTCAGCAACCTAGTCTTGGGCAAGGCCAGAAAGGAGAGGGAAACCGATACACATTCTTTCTTCCCCTTACCCCAACACCAATGGCCTACAACTTAATTTCCCTCACCGGAGGTCACAACTTTCCTCCTGCCTGCCAGCCAGTCTTCACTTAGCCCCCGAAGTAATGTCTCTGAAACACAAGTCAGGTCCTCTAAAGGCCCCCACTATCTACAGACCAATCTCAACTCCTAACAGAGGCCCTCTGTCACCTGCCAGCTAGCCTCACTAGTCTCAGCTTTTATCACTCCCAGCCTCTTCATGCCTCACACCCACAAAGCTGCCATCTTGCTAACTACCTCCACCCCCCATCTCTCTCCCCAATGCTGTTTTTCTCACCTTTCTGCCTTTGCTCATGCTGATCCCTATACCAAAAATACCTTTCCACCTCATCCATTTCCTGGCAAACTTCAATTTCCTTTAGAACTCAGCTCAGATGTTCACTTCTCCAAGAAGCCACCTCTGAACCTCCATCCTGTTCCCTAAGTTAGGTGCTCTCTCCCACACTCACCTCATTGCACTAACGACACCTTATTCATGTGTCTGTCTCTGTCTTACTCGCTTGCTTGTGCTGGGAGTTCCCTTAGGACAAGGACTATGCCATTCATCTTTGTTTCCCAAGTACCTAACACAGAGGCTTACATGCTTGCAGAATAACCCAAGGAGGCTCCTCAAAACAAGACAAGTCATATGGGACGGACAGCAGTCATAGTTGTCTTCACCAAATTCATGTGCTTGGTCTATTAGCTGCCTCAGTGAACTAAGACAGTTACAGGAGGGGCGTAAGCTAGGTATGCCTCAATGCTACAAACTGAGAGTCATTCAGTTTTACTTGTTTAATCTCTAAAATGAACCTGAAAACCAGAATCTCCCAGAAACCAGGCTGAAAGACTAAGCTCATAACTTACTTTGAGGTTCAGATCAACTGTTAAACAAGAAAGCTCTAAAACTCAACTCTGATTACCCAAATTCACCCCACAATAAAAAACAGATATGGAGAACAGAGTAGCTTAAGTCTGCTTCATAGCATGAGATAAACCTTTGTCCTGGAGATTCTATAGACATGGCAGGAAGAAGTCAAAGATGGTGTTACCCTTTCACCCTGAGGAGACAATCAGGCAAGCATACATAATTACATATATACAAGATGTGGCACCGTTTGAAATAGGGGAAAAAATACAACCAACAATGTCCAACAGGAGAGGACTACTAAACAAAATAGCAACAGAGACACCACGCAGCTGTTAAAAAAGTAGACATAAAGCTCTATGAACCAACACTGAAAGGTGTCTATGACATACAACAAAATGAAGAAAAAAAGCACAGAATGTATATTTGGTTATACATATCTACAATCTGGAAAAAACATACAATACAACTAACAGTAGTGAATGTCAAGGAGGGTTTACAAGAGAACTTTAACTTGTACTTTTTACTCCCTATACTTTTGTAGTCGGGAATTTTTTTTTAAGGCAGAACATTCAACATCTGAAATGAACAAAAATTAAAATACTGGTATTTAAGAACTAAAAAATTTCAAGATGAGTTTCATTATTCTTTTTAAAAGCTATTTTCCTTTTTGTCTTTAACATGCAAATGTACATACCTGCATTTATTCGGCTGTCCAATGTCCCCCAAAAGCAACCTGGATTTTCTTCTCTGCTTTCCAAAGCCCGTTCAGAGCTGAGCTGCACAAGGACAAATAAACAAATCAGCTGCAGAGGTAATTGCATCAGGAAAGAAGAGGACGCTCTCATTAAGGAAGCAGCCCAAACCATAAGCGGGCAGGAAAAAAACATTTGGGAGGAAGAAGGAAAACAACAAAAAGCACTGATGAGGACACGGAGAGGACAGAGAGGCAGCTTGGGATGTAAACATCAAAGAAGATGTGATTCTGGTTGCTTCAGAAAGGAAGCCGGGGACTTTTGCTTCCTGGCGCAGAGTGCCCTGTCCAGTGCAAGAGAAGGCTGGGCACCTTCCGTCAACAACCTCTCTCCCGAGGCTGTGAACAATAGTTCGGGACGCCCAAAGATGCGCGCTTATTTCCTATTCCCATTTCCTTTAGAATTACCCTCCTCCCGAAGCCGGCTGCCCTTGGCCTCGTTTTAATGGTGAGCCAACAGAGGGTACGCTGATGGGGAAAGGCCTAGGAATAACTCCGCAATGTTCTCAGCTCCCCACGTAGTTTTTGAGCCATTCTTATTTGAAAACTTAGGTAGCAAGTAAAGATCCCATGCTACTCCCTGACCTTAAGTGCCTGGACACACACACACACACACACACACACACATGCAATAGAACCGTATCAATGAAGACAGAGTGGATGGTGTGTTGTTACCTGAAGTTATTGATGATGTTCATTGCCTTCTGTCTAATAGGGCTGGAAATGGAGTTCAATGGCTCCTCCTTGATCCCATCCTAACACACACACACACACACACACACACACACACACACACACACACACCCCTACCTCTACATTACTTTAACAACTTCCCTTGCTGTTTCTCACAAATTCTCTTTTTTACCAGTAGAATCAAATTACTGTTGCAAATAAGGAACAACTACTCTTAGTGATTTGAAAGTGGTTTCCAAGTAAATATAGGTTATTGTCTCAGTTTCCTGCCTATCATTCAACACATTTTATCAGCATGCATCTTTAGGAAGAGCACAGTCCCAGGTGTAAGGTGGCAGAGTGGCGGGCACTGGAGAGGATGACGTGAGGCTGCAAGGCCACCATTCCCACAGGACCTGACAATCTAAGTGGGAGATGGCACAATGGAAAACATAAAAGCAATCTAATATCAATAGTGTGTGTCACAAGGTCACCTTCTGTACCTCTAGCTAACTCTGGTGACAGCTAATTTGGGAAGGCTTTCTGCAGTGGGTGAGACTTAAGCAAAAGTAACAATAGGAGGCCAAGCAGGGAATACAAGTATGAATTTTGATGTGACAACTTTGACTTGGCTATTTTAACATGGACAATTTTAACATGGTTCAAAGAACAGACCACTAGACTTTTAGCTTTTAAAATGTAATATAATCAATTATTTTAATTAAGTGAATAGATACCCTGCCTTGAATCAAAACAGCAACCTGATATTAGCTACATGCTAATGCCTTGCTTCTGCTCAGAAGCAGGGTTTCAAATGTCACGTTTAGGAGATTCACTCAACAAGTATGTTTGAGCAGTTCTAAGTGCGAAAATCTAAACTATATCAAGAGGCCACAATGAAGAACAAGAGTGATATGATCCCTGGTTACATGGAGCTTATGGTCTACAGAACCAATGGAATGAAACAAAAATGCAGAGAAACGGGTAATTATAAAGAGCTTAAAATGCCCTGAAGAAAAAAGAGAGCTCATATAAGAGCAATATGACATAGCATGGAGTTCAAGAGGGAAGTAATATTGACCTAAGTTGTAATGTGTATCTAGGGAGGAGTGGAGAAAGCCGTCTGGGTGAAGGATTAGCATGTGCAAAGGCCCTGTAAGAAATGAGGAACTAGTCTGGTCTCTCCAGCTGCACAAACAGGAAAATCCCTCCAATACTCATTTTTACATGTGGACAAAGACCAGCACTAGCCAGTTTACAGGCTTGCCAACAGCATGTCTGGGACCTTTCTACCCCAGATTTCTTGCAGCAGGCCACTATAATCTGTTGCCGAGGATGAATAAAAATTAACCAGATGAGCTCCATGCTTTAAAGCATTCAGAAGCCCATCTCAAACCAGGAAAGGGACGCATCATCAGGGCCTTTTAAAGCAGGAAGAGACCGCTAAGTTCCACTGGTGCAGGCTCTTAAGAAGAGAGACAACATAAAATTTTAGCACTCACAAAGCATTTTAATATGCACCATCAGATCACGTGTTACTTGAATTTAGGAACTGTGGTTTTGCTCTGGGCCTCATATAAGATTCGAGGTTCAGACTAAAATCACTAAGATTCTTCTAGAATTAGGATTCTATGAAAACCTGTAATCAAGCAGAGTTTGGTATTTCCATTGCAGTGTTCTTTTTCCACAGCAAGCAACATTATATTGAAATCACATTGTACCTAATTTTCAAACTGATCTCCGGTACTACTGGACAGGATGAAAAAATGGTATCAATTTGTGATGCTTAGCTTAGAGATTAAACTCTTTGGGAAAACAAGATCAGCCAACAGAATTTCTAGACAATATGCATTACTATGATGTTTTATATGCTGATTCAATAACAAAATCCCTACTCGTAGGAAACTAACATTCTAACGATAAAAATGTTAAAAGCACTTAACATAGATGCTGGGCATCATCCGAAGTGCTTAAACCTTGGTCTGCTGATCCAGTTCATATGCAATGACAACTGTCCTCACTCAGGATAATAAGTGGGTTTTGGTGCTACAGCATTTGTGTAATGGCTTCATTCAAATAAACATTTCTTTCCAAAAAACACACACACAAAAACAAATAATCTAGCTACTTATTTTTACAACAGGTACAAAAAGAGCAAGATCCGTTTATAAATACTTTGGATTATTCTAGGAAATCAATTCAAGTTTCTTGCTATAGGATACAAAAAGAAAATCTTTAACGTTAGAAAAACTGACCAGATGGTATCGCACAATGCCCTTTAAAAATAACATGATTCTCTGGGTTCTATTCTCAACTCAGATGAAAACAATGAAGCTCAGAAAACAGGATGGATAAAAGTGAGTAATCAAAAGGTTTTGATGACAGCAATGAATTCATCCACCTAATTCACTCATAAATTTTCAAGGATTTAAAAGAAAACATCTCTTCTTTCCATGAGAGAGGACTAATTTTGTGGCTCCCTCCATGGCTCTTCCCTGTGCCTGGCTGAGGCCACAGAGAGAGAGCCTTTATTTGAGAAATCAGAAATTTTGTAGATTCTCAGGTTGTTGTTTTTTAATTTATGAAAGTCTTATGTGAGAGAGAAGTACATCTGATACTTTCTGAGTGAGGGAAAAGTAACAGAAACAAAACCTAGTCCTGTGAGCCTGAACAAGGACTAAACTGCAAATAGCGGGGATATCACTATTTTCCAAAATGCACAATCCCAAAGTATCTACTTCTGAGAATACTGACACCGTTTTATATTTTCAAGGACATCTTTTGAAATACAGGTATCTGTATAAGGAAGAATATACAATTAAATTTGGAATAGTAGAGAAAAGAGACATAAAAACAGACCATGTTAACTCACAAATATGACCATCAGACCATTAGTGCTTCTGGCCAAAGGCAATGGCCAGATTTATATGAAAATAGACTGGGTGACTGTTAAAATCAGTGACAATCAAAATATAATACTTTGGGTACTGATTGTTCTTACTAAGGAAACCGTTATACTTCCAGTGAATTACTTTATGTATGCAATAAAGAAATTAAAACCTTTAATCTCTTAAGTAGAAAATACAAAGAAAATGTTAATGAATTAAGGTATGAACTTAGGGGAAAAAATTTTAAGAAATGTTATTAGAAAATGTCCTGAAGAGAACCAGAGTCATAGAAGCATCAAACAGACTGTCCAACCTATGAGGGAAGGCAGGGGGTGGGAGGGTGAGGGGGTAAGAGATCAACCAAAGGACGTGTATGCATGCATATAGCATAACCAATGGACACAGACAGGAGGGGGGGTGGTAAGGGCATGTGCTAGGAAGTGGGGGCGGCTGGGGAAAGGTCAATGGGGGAGGAAGGAGACTTATGTAATACTTTAATAAGGAATTTACAAAGAAAAATGTCCTGAAATCAGCTGCTTAATACCTTAAGAAATTGTAAGATTAAAGATATAAAGCCTTGCCCTAACCGGTCAGGCTCAATGGATAGAGCATCAGCCCACGGAATGAAGGGTCCTGGGTTCGATGCCAGTCAAGGGCATGTACCTTGGTTGCAGGCTCAATCCCCAATAGGGGGCATGCAGGAGGTAGCTGATCGATGTTTCTCTCTCATCAATGTTTCTAACTCTCTATGCCTCTCCCTTCTTCTCTGTAAATATCAATAAAGTTTATTGGGGGGAAAAAAGATGTTAAGCCTTAAAAAAAACTATTTCAGCAGGCACCAGTCTTACCGTTGGTGAGGAAACTAATACAAAAAATACAAGCTCCTTAAAAAAAAAAAATACAAGGTCCTAGGGGGCAGGGATTTTTGATTCTTTCCTTTAGCGCTTTACATATTAAGGGATCAATAAGCAGTTAAACAGTTGTTCAATGAAAGATTAAGGTGACAAATGAAGCAACATATGCAATGGAAAATTCACCTTAATCCAGGGTGCCTGGTTCTTAATGACTTGGTACACAAGGCAGGAGATGTGAAAGTGTTCAGACAAGTGCTAAAGCAATATAATATAGGCTTTATGGCAAAAGATGAAGGTGGGCTGTGCGCTGCTCAGAAAAATAATGAATAAATAGGAATTCTGAGCAAAAGCCTGGTCACAAATCAAAGTCTTGTTTCACAAATCTCAGATGGCACAGAACAGCAGCTAAAAGCATGAGCTGGCGTCATCCAGACCTGAGTTTGGATCCCACCCTCCCCACTTACTAGCTATTGTATCCTTAGGCAAGTAACTTAACATCCCTAAGCCACAATGTTCTCAGCTTTAAGTGGAGGGATAAAATAGTGTAAATCTCACAGAGCTGTTAAGAGTTAAATGCATTAGTGCACATAAAGTGCCTAACAAATTTAGCA